CCACTGCAGCTGGAGCAAAGGGAGCAAGGGAAGGGGACCAGGAAAGGATGTCAGAGCATGCTGAGGCAGACCTTGCAGACTGCAGGCCATCGTAAGGACTTGCCATTACTCTCAGTGAGACAGAAGCCTCTGGCATGTTCTGAGCAGAGGAGGCACATGGTCTAACTTAGGATAAAAGGTCTGTTCTGGCTGCGGTGTTGAGAACAGGCTGCAGGTGACAAGACTGGACACAGGAAACCAGTTGAATAGCAATGCTTCACCCAGGTGAGATATTATGATAGCTTAGATCAGGACAGCAGTCATGTGAGATGGTTAAAAGGGCTCAGATTCTGGATCTGAATTTGGAAAGCCAGGGAGACTGACATCAGAGTCCAGGGTCTGCCACAATTTGATGACCCTGGTAAGCCACCCCCCAGCTCAGGCTGTGACCCTGAAGGGCTGTACCCTAGAAGTAGGGGTAAAATAAAAGCAAACTAGCTCTAAGCTTCAGGTCATCTGGGCAACCTAGTAAATTTCAAGCTCTAAACTTGAAATAAGGTCATCCTAGAATGCTGATTTGCCCCAGGTGCCTGGAGAAAGGGATTTAAAAAATATCATCCCAGACCTAAAATTATTTTTATAAATATTTTTCCAAACACAGTATTATTTTAGCACATAGTTGAAGATAACTAGATTTCATGAAAGGAAAAGACACCATGAATGGTAACAAGTGGAAATGAATCTCAAGGACTCCAGACATGAGAATTATCAGACACTGACTATAATATAATCATACTTCCTGTGTTCAAGGAGATCAAAAGCCGTGCCTGAAAATTCTGCAAGGAGACTGGAAACCAGACAAAGCAGCTGTGTCAGTCACGTCCTGTCCTGAACACCATGGCATACTCTAGGTGGTTAGAGGGAAGTTTAACTAAGGGATGCTTTTCTTTTTATTTTCGTCTTTATTTTGAGACAGGCTCTCACTCTGTCACCCAGGCTGGAGTGCAGTTGCATGATCTCGGCTCCCTGGAACATCTGACTCCCAGATTCAAGCCATTCTCCTGCCTCAGCCTCCTGAGTAGCTGGGATTACAGGCATGTGCCACCAGTTCCAGCTAATTTTTGTATTTTTAGTAGAGACAGGGTTTTACCGTGTTGGCCAGGCTGGTCTGAAACTCCTGACCTCAGGTGATCTGCTTGCCTTGGCTTCCCAAAGTGCTGGGATTACAGGCATGAGCCACCGAGCCCAGCCAGATGCTTTTAACAGAATGAGAAGAGTATAGGAAAACTACAAGAGATACTCTAGAGCTAGTACCCTGGAGTTAGTAACAGTGGCGTGCTATTACTATCACAAGGCCTGAAAGGGCAAGGAGAGGAAGTGGTTACTGGAACTAAGAAGAGTGGACCTAGGTGTAGAGTACCTCCTGATAGAAATTATGATGTTCACTGAGGGACACAATCAACCTGGATGACCACTCAGGATGGAAGCTGGGCAAATATATACCAAAACTTCATTCTTCTTCTTCCTTCCAATCTACTGCAGGTACTCCTCACAGGCCGAAATCAATCAGAAGCTGAAAATCAGGGGCCATCAAAACAGGTCAACCTCCCAGCACACAGAAAAGGGTGAACAAGTAGTTATTCTGGAGGGACAAATAGAAGGCACATGGCACAGTGAAGTCACATATTTAAAAAGAACCAAACACAAATTCCAAAACTGGAAAATGTAATGATTAAAAAAAGAAAGAAAGAAAATGTCATGATTAAATTAATGATTCAGTGGTCAGATTTAAGAGCAGATTCAACACAGCCCAAGAGAGAATTAGTGAACTAGAAAATGGGTCACAAGAAACTATGTAAAATGAACAGAAAATAAAGCAAAATGAGACAACAGAGAGAACAGGGCAAAGTTAATATCCACAATAGGTAGTTGGTAAATTTCCAGGACATTGAAAAAACATCAATCCATAGATTCCATTAAGTCCAATGAACCTCAAGTCTACATTCATACTCATTATAGTGACCCTGCAGAGACAGAAGAGTTAAGGATGATGGTAAGGATAACAGGCAAATGGAAGTTAATGGAGTTGCCCTCGACTGAGATGAGGAGACTGAGAATAGGGCAAATTCGGGAAATTTGAGGAATTGTCTGCCTGGCCGCTGTAAGCCCTTGTGTTTGAGCTCCCTAGTCCCTGGATCTCTTCTGGGCAGTTGAACTGCTTCCAGATCCATTCCCCACTCTCACTGACTTGGGCCTACTCCCCATCTCTTGTCAGGAGATTGTAGCAACCTCCTCCATGGCCTCCCACTCCAGTCCATTCTCCACATTGGCTGTCAGAGTTATGCTTCTAAAAATTGCAAATCGTTGGTGGTGTGATGTGGCCTGATTGTGGGTAATGTACTTTCCTACTCCTCTGGTTTCTATAAGGAAGGATTTCCCCTCAATACTCTGGGCTCCCCTCCAACTGCACCAGGTAAGATGGGTGAATTCTGAGTGGTGAGTGTGGGACTGGAGTCTGAGACTGTGGTGCTCAGCAGTTTCTTTCTTCTTCCTTTTGAAAGAAGACCACCCTTAGGGAGCTGCATTTTGCTCTCCCCTCCCCAAGAAAGCCTGTGTTTTTCCTTTACTTTTTGTGCCTCCTGGGTGGGTCTTTCTGCCAAATTCTGAGGTTCACCATTAGGAAGCCCTCTGCAGATAGAAATCACATTTGTTCAGAGCATTGGCAGAAAAGAGAAACTATGTATTGGGTTCCCGAAAATCCCCAAACCAAAATATTGCAATACATCCTACGTTAAAATGCTTCAGGGCCCCTAATTGCCTACCAAAGAAAGTTCACATTTTTAACACAGTCCTCAAAGTCCTTCCCATCCAGCCCCTACCTACCTGCCTCTTCAGGCTGCATTCATTCTATTCTCTCTCCCACCACCCATGATATTTGAATCTTACCCAGTATATAGCCAGTCTCTTGAAGACTACTTTATAAAACATGGAGTCTTTTTCCAGCATTATGGAGAGGTTCAGGTGAGAAGGACTGAAGCCTCCAGCCAACAGCCACCTGAGTAAGCCTCTATCCCCCAGCTTCAGTCATCTGCAGAGCCTGTAGCCTTGACCATGCCAGAACCACCCAGCTAAGCTGCTCTTGGATTCTTAATCCTCAGAATGGGGCATAAAGTAAATGTATGCCATAGTTTAAGACCATCCCCCAAATGTTATGTGTTGGAAACTTATCTCCTAACTCATGTCAATGGTGTTAGGAGGTGGGGCCTTTGGAAAGTAATTAGGATTAGATAAGGCTATCAGGGTGGAGTCACCATGATAGTACTGGTGGCCTCAAGAAGAAGACGAGGTCAAACGTGGTAGCTCATGCCTATAATCCCAGCACTTTAGGAGGCCAGGGCAGGTGAATCACCTGAGGTTGCTAGTTTGAGACCAGCCTGGCCAACATGGTGAAAACCCATCTCTACTGAAAAAAAAGAAAAAAGAAAGAAGAAGAAGAAGAAGAGGGGCCTGAGCGGACCTGCTCATGCCCGCTCACCATATGATGCCCTTCACCATGTTATGACACAGGAGAAAGGTCCCCACAAGAGGCAGCCCCACTGCTCTGCCCTTCCCAGCCCCTAGAACTGTAAGAAATACATCTCTTTTCCTTACAAATTCCCCCGTCTGTGGTATTCTGTATAGCAATAGAAAATGGACTAAGACCATGTGTATTATTTTAAAGTTTTAAATTGAGGATAATTAATTTTTTATTATTATTATTATTTTGAGATGGAGTCTTGCTTTATTGCCCAGGCCGGAGTGCAGTGGCATCTTGGCTCACTGCAAACTCCGCCTCCCAGCGATTCTCCTGCCTTGCCCTCCTGCGTAGCTGGGATTATAGGCATGCACCACCATCCCCGGCTAATTTTTGTATTTTTTGTAGAAACGGGGTTTCACCGTGTTGGTCAGGACTGGTCTTGAACTCCCGACCTCATGCTCTGCCCGCCTTGGCCTTCCAAACTGTTGGGATTACAAGCGTGAGCCACTGCACCCGGCCAATTTTGGGTAATTTTTTTTGCAGCAATAGATAACTAATGTACCCAGCCTACTTCTCTCCCCTTGACTAACTTCTTCTTCAGGTCTCAGCTCACACTCTTCCTCCTCCTGGAAGCTTTCCCTGACTCTGTCCAAGACACCTGATGGGTGAGCCTCCCAATACCTCTCCATCTTCTCAGGCAACACTGCCCAGACTTTTCTTTAGGGAACTACTCTTCTTCCCTCTGAGTCTGTGTGTGTAGGATGAGGCTGACTCCACTTCAGGCTTGAAGCCTGGCTGCCAGCCTATGCCTGGCCAGTCAGCACTCTCCAATCCCCTGGAGCCAATGTTTAGGCTGTGACCTAAGCCAGACCCTTGGGGGTCAGCCCAAGAGCCTTTGAAGGAGGTACAGGGAAGAGGTCATCTTTATCTGCCGGCATTGCTGAATGGGAAAATATCAGTCTGGAGCTACAGACACATTTTGCCAGCATGAGGTAAAGCCTGCCTCAAGATGAAGCTAGAGGAAAAGAGAAGAACCTGGGGACAGGAAGAGACAGATTCCTGATGCAATTGTTGAAGCACCTAGATGCAACTGTGCCTGAAACCCAAATCTACCTCTGGACTTTTGGATTTTAATTTTTTCCCTCCCCTCCCCTCCTTCTTGGACTTTCATTTTTCCCCTCCCCTCCCCTCCCCTCCCCTCCCCTCCCTTCCCCTCCCCTCCCCTCTTCTTCCTTTCTCTCCCCTCCCCTCCCCTCCCCTCCTTCTTGTCTTTTTCCTTTTTTGTGAGTGCCATAGACAATGTATGTTGATTTTAGATTATTTCTGTCACTTTCAGCTGAAAGAGTTCAGACCAATTCATCCCCATGGGCAGAATCAGGGACACCCTCCTGGACACCCAGATCCTCTGGTACCACCCTCACCACTGCAATCACCACGAAAAACTGCACCAGAAATAGGTGGCCCTGCCCCTGATGTTTTTGTGATGATATCAACTTTGGCTTACCTCCTCCCTTCTTTCTTGAAATTTGAGGTAGGTCATGTTCATTTCCACTTCCAGAGTACTTGCCTAAAAGAGGTATTCAGTGAATAATTGTATAATGAATAAATAAAAGAAAGAATGAATGAATGAACATATGAGTGTCTTCTAGTTGGTCAGGAGACTTTAATAGAGTGAGAAAAGAGAGTTGTTTCTCCAGAGACCTACCTGCTATGAGATCTAAGTTATACTAAAGTCCTCTCTGAGCTGACAAAGGATTGTTATTTTTAAATCTCTCTTCACCCAGACCACAGCTGAACTGGCCACACCCATGGGATACAAACCAATCTCCCGTTACAGAAAAACAAATCTGACCCAGCCATTCTCTGCTTAAAACAACTTTCAGTGATGTTTTTGACAGGAGTGGGTGGAAGGGAGTGAGCATTTGCATTTAGAGAACATTCCCTGTTAAAGAATGTTCATTTGCTTATTGACTGACTCATTAGGCAAGCAATGAATTAGCACCTACTATGTGCGGGCACTACACGTTACTCCATCCTCACAGCAACCTCTTTCTTAGGGCAATGTATTTGTTACCTGTTACTATGTAACTCATTACCCTAAACCCAGGGGCTAAAACAACAAACATTTGTTATCGCACAGGAATCCAGGTGCAGTCAAGCCAGGGCCGCAGTCACGTCAAGGCTCCACTGGAGCAGAAGGATCCATTTCCAAATGCATTCACAGGGTTGTTGTGAGGCCTTAGCTCAAGCTTGTCCAGGCTGTGGTCTGCAGGCTGCCTGTAGCCCACGATGGCTTTGAATGAGTCTCAGGACGGTTTTGAATCCGGCCCAACACAAATTCTTAAACTTTCTTAAAACATTATGAGATTTTTTTTGTGATTTTTATATATTTATTATTATTATTTTTAGCTCATCAGCTATTGTTCGTGTTAGTGTATTTTATGTGTGGCCCAAGACAATTTTTTCTTCTTCCAGTGTGGCCCAGGGAAGCCAAAAGATTGGATATCCCTGCCTTAGAAGAATCACGTGCAAACTCACCCACAGGGGCTTTTCCTTAGGACTGCCTCACAGCATGGAAGCCAGCTTCTCCAGGACGACTGATCCAAGAGACAGCAAGAGAGTGTCCAAGACAGAAGTCACCATCTCTTGGTAACCTCATCTCAGAAGCAACATGCTCATCCCCTCTGCCACATTTTGTGCATTAGAAATGAGTCATTAAGTCCAGCCTACACTTGAAGGGAGGAAATTACATAAGGGTATGAGTACCAAGAGGTGGGTTAATTGGGGCAATTTCAGAGGCTACCTGCCACAGGTAAGTTATTATTATCCTTCATTTCATACCTAGACACCCAGCTAGTTAAGCAGCTGGTCCAGGTCACCCAGCAGAGAGTGATCTGAGTCCAAAGTGGTTTTCTATTCCCCAGGCTGGTAGGGGTGTGAGATGGAGGAAGGCAGGGAGAAGTTACTTGCAGGAAAAAAAAATTAGGATGATGTCTCTGTTATTTATCTAACTAGCTAAATTAATAACTCTGTTATTTATCTAACTAGTATCTTTAGCTATGTAACTAATTACCAACAACTTAATGGCTTAAAGCAAACATTTATTATCTTATAGTTCCTATGGATCAGGAATTTGGTGACAACTGAGCTGAGTGGTTGTCAGTCTCCTATGAGGCTGTGGTTCAGCTGTGGGCTGGGGATGCTGCTTTGAAGACCTAACCAGGGCTGAGGCGCTACTTCCAAGAGACTCCATTCACATAGCTGCTGGTGGGAGGCTTCCTTCTTCACCACGCAGACACCTCGAGCTTCTTTAGGACAGGGCAGCTGGCTTCCCCCAGAACAGGTGATTCAAGAGCAGATAAGCAAAGCCTGAGTGTCTTTTGTGACGTAGCCTCAGGAGTCATAACTGTCATTTCTGCAATATCCTGTTGATTACACAGGATAGGTCAGTCCTATTCACTGTGGGAGGTGATTACAGAAGGGCATGGGAATACCAGGAGATCAGGATCACTGGAGGCTGACTATTTACCACAGGGTTCCACAAGGTTGATAACCTGAAAACTTAACTTTTATCGCTGCTTCCCTGCTCAAAGAGACCCAGAGCCTTCCCATGTACTACAGCACACAATCTGATTTTCTTAGCTCCATCTCCCACTGGCTCCTGAGTGGATGGACTGTCTGGGACTGACAGCCTGGTCTGCTAATGGACCTCACCAGTCCCACAGCTGAGGCTCTTGTTGATACCTCCCCTCCCATCCTCTGTTCTGTGGGAAGGCCTGGCTCCCTGGGAAGCCTCCATTCAGCATTCAAAGCATAGTTAGCCAGGATCTGGCTGGATGCTAGGATATGATGGTGATATCACCTTCTCTCAGGGAACTTTCACTCAGATAGAGAGGTAGTTACCAGCGAATTAATAATAAACAAATCACACATCATGCCAAGTTCTCCCAGGGAAACCTACAGGGTACCATGGGATTATATAATAGGGGACTGGCCTAGTCCATGAGCACTGGAGCAGTCAAGTAGCCAACCAGGCTGCATAGGAGTATCAGCATTGGGTTTAGTGTTAAGTGTCTGAAAATGCAAAATAACAATAGCTTAAGTAAGACAGATGTTTATTTCTCTTGGGCAGGTGTTTGAGGTGCCACTCAGAGACAGGAACTCAGGTTCTTTCTGTCTCGTTGCTCTGCTCTGTATGGCCTCTATCTTATGGTCCAGGATGATGACACCTACAATCCTGGCAGCCAAATGGAGAAAGGGACACAGAGGGTAAAGCAGACATACCAACTATCCCAGACTATGGAATGAGTGGAAAAGTGAAGGAGTCTGATTGAGTTGTTTTCACAAGCATTAATGAAAGGATTAAATTGATGTGTATGAGTGCAACAGAATCTGTTGTAATTTCTCTTTAAATAAAGCTGTCTTTGGGGAAAACGAGACACTTCCCTTCACTTTTCAATGCCACCTCTAGCTACAAAGGAAGCTGGGAAATGTAACTTTCTTTTTTTGTTTTGAGACGGTGTTTTGCTCTTACTGCCCAGGCTGGAGTGCAGTGGCACGATCTTTACTCACTGCAATCTCTGCCTCCCGGGTTCAAGCGATCCTCCTGCCTCAGCCTTCCAAGTAGCTGGGTTTACAGACATGTACCACCACACCCGGCTAATTTTGTGTTTTTAGTAGAGATGGGGTTTCACTGTGTTGGTCAGGCTGGTCTCGAATTCCTGACCCCAGGTGATCCACCCACCTTGACCTCCCAAAGTGCTGGGATTACAGATGTGAGCCACCACACCCCGCCTGGAAATGCAATTTTCATTGCTAGCACCTACATGCCCAGCCAAAAGTTGGGAGCTCCATCCCCACTCAGAAACAGCAATGATAATCAACCCTGTCTTGCACTTACTCTGTGCCAGGCATTTGCTGACCTTGGAGATCATCCCAAATACACACTTGATTCAGTAGGTCTGGGCTGGGGACAAGAGTCTGTCCTGTGATGGCCATGTGGCTGGTCTGTGGGCCACATTTTGAGGAGGGAGGATGAGAGGTCAAAGGTCTATCATTGCATGGTTTCGTCCCACACAGGGCCAAGGAAAGGCCATTTGGAAGCAGGGGTGCTCAAAGCCCCTTAACTCTCCCTGCTGACCCCAGGTTTCCAGTTCAGGCTGAGATTCCCTTCTCTCCCCCAACAGTGTCAGACCACTTGTTGAGTGAGTCAGTGAGTGAATGAATGAATGAATGAATAGAAAAGGAATGCAGAGGTCAGGTTGGGCATATGCTCCAGGGGAAGGGTTTGGTTCACCACACCACTCTACCCCAGGCCCGGTGCTGGTGCTGTCCCTTCCGAATCCTCCCGGAGAAACAAACACTGCAGTTCCTCTCTATTTACACAGGAAGAAACTGTCCACTGGCTCTGCTTTTTGAACCACAGCCCTCATCATCCTCTGCCGGGTTTTTTCAAGGCCTGTGTCAGCACAGCCTTGGAGAAGGGGCCAGTGACAGAACCTGGGGGAAGTTCAGAATGAGATTCCCCTACTCAGGTCTTGTGTGACCTCAACTACCATCTCCTCGAATCCAGCAGTCACGGAGGCAGCTGCTCTGTATCTCTGAGGAGGAAACTGAGGCTCAAAAAAGGGGACAGTTGGCATAGTCCACCCAAGTCACCGTGCAGGCTCCATCTGCCTCTGCGACAACCCAGCATGTGCTGGATGGACCAGGCTCGAAGCAGGCGCTCTATGAACAGGCACTGGAGTGAACCGCAGGGAAGATGGAAGCAGGGACAGCCCCGGCCAGCCTCCAGAGTTTCAGGTGTTGCCACCGTGCTGAGCCAGTCTCCTATTTCTCAGCTGGAGAAAACCTCCCTCAAGTAGGTATGGTCATCCTCTTTGTGCAGTTGTGCAAAGGGGTAGGGGGCTCCAAGAAGCCCAGTGGCTTTCCCAGAGAGGCACAGCAGGGGTAAAGGTGGTCCACCTTGTCAAGCGTAGGACTCCCTTCCTCCACAGTCTTGGGCCCTCACTCAGAGCTAGACGCTGTGCACAGCCAAAGTCTGTATCACCCCCACTCAATCACAGTTCAGTGAAACTGTTTACAAATGCCAAAAAAAAAAAAAAACGGTGCTCGGAGAGGCAGAGAATTCGTCCGAGGACATCCAAAGAAGGCAGAGAAGGAAATGTAAGGGGGAGGTTTGAAGGAACAAGTACTGGAGTCTGTGGGGGTCTCCCTTCCCCTCAGACAGCCTCAACCCTCCGCCCCTTCCTTGCCGGCTCCCGGGCCCCTTTAACAGGGTGGCGGAAGGGGCGGCCGGGCAGGCGGCGCCCAATGGGCTGCGCGGAGCGTCACTTCCTGGCGGCCAGAGGCGAGTGGCGAGTGGCGACTGTCGGGGGGCGGCCGGCGGGGGCGGGGCGGCCGGAGGAGGCGTTGGCAGCGGGCTCCGACCCACGCGGCGCCGCGGCCCGCCTGGCCTGCAGCGCTCCCACCCCCGGCGGCGGCGGCGGCACGATGCCCTTTGACTTCAGGAGGTGAGTGTGGCGACCCCGGCCACTCGGGAGTCCCCTCTGCGGGCAGAGCGAGCACCCGGCACGCTGCGGACCCCTCTCGCCCTGCATGCAAAAGCGGCCCCCAGCCCTGTGCATGCCTCGGCAGGCCCCTAGGGACCCCAGGCGAGCCCCCTGCCGCACACGAAGCCAACCAGAGTCGCGAAGGCCCCCTCCTGCAGCGGGAGACAAATCCACCCACCTTCCCTCTGCCGAGTCCCCTCCCCAGCCTGCACGGATACCTTGCATTCCCCTCCCCCACACTAGGAAACAGATTTCTAGCCTCCCCCCAGATGAAAACAGCCCTTCCACCCCAGCATCCTTCTTCTCCCTCTACAGAGCCTCCTTGGTGGACCCCACCCCAGCTGACAGGTGGGGCAGGGCCCCTGAAATGAGTCCGGAGGGGCCTGGGGCCCCATGCAGCCTGGCAGCAGCTGGAGGGCTTTAGG